AGCCAAGTATTGGTAAGCACCTGTGAAAACTCACTAACAGCATCACGCTGTCACATTAAGGCATATCAAGATGCGGCCAACCAACCTCCAAAGTGAGCATATAAAGATGAAACAATTTTTTAATAGAAAAAATCCGAGCCCCAGATGGGACTTGAAATAACGCTGGCAACATTACAATTTTACAGCAAACAAACAAAATATGCTTTTTACGCTATGAAGCTGATTCCAACGTGTTTTAGCAATAAAAAAGCAAAAACGCTTTTTTTCTGATATATAGCTCAAGGCAGCCCAATTGCGTTGTTAACAAAGCAAAACATATTGTCGGTGCTATGAAGCTTGAAGCAGCGCATTTTGCAAGGCAATCAAATAAAAATCAAGGTCACTCGCTAAAACCTGGAAACAGAAATCCATTTACCGGTTCAATAACGCTGCAAAAGGCCCAGTTTGACGCCAAACAAACCAAAACATATTTTTTGTGCTATAAAGTTGAGTGGAACGTCCTTTAGGAACGAAAATGCAAAGATCGCTGCTTTTTGTGACATAAAGCTCGAAGCTTCTAATTTAGTTGCAACCAAACCAAATGATGGTCTTGGTAAGATAAAAGGTTAAAAGCGCAGTTTTGGTAGGAAAGAAAGGAAAAGCCTGTTCTCGGAAACATATTGTTGAAAACAGCGTAACCTAGCCGGAAAGAGACGAAAACGTTTCGTTGAGTAAAATCAAGAAAAAAATCAGCGTGACTCGCTGCAAACTGGGAGAAAACCTTTTTCCGTTGCGTTACGGCAAACAAACCAAAACATGTTTTTCCTGCAATAAAGCTAAAGGCAACGTATTTTAAACACAGCGAGGAAAAAAAGGATGTTTTTTGTGACATAAGGCTCAAAGCAGCCTAGTTTAGTTGGCAACAAACCGAAACATTTTTCCGGTAATATAGAGCGTCAAATGTGTAGTTTGCTCACGAAAGAAGAGAAAAAGGTTGTTCTCAGAAGGAGGATCCTGGAACAGCGAAGCTTAGGCAAACACAAGTAACAGCGTTGTTTTGAGTAAAATCAAGGAAAAATTAGGCGGACTCGCTGCAAACTGAAAGAAAACCTTTTTCCGGTGCAATACCACTGCAAAACACACAACTTTACGGCAAACAGACCAAAACATTTTTTTTTTTTTGTGCTATAAAGCTGAGTGCAACGTGTTGTAGCCAAGAAAAAGCAAAAACGCTGGTTTTTGCGATATAAAGCTCAAAGGAGCTCAATTTCGTTGCCAACTAACCAAAAGATATTTTCGGTGCTATAAAACTCAAAGCAGCGTGTTTTCCAACGAAACACTAAATGGCCGCTTTTTCTGACATAAAGCTGGAAGCTTCCAATTTAGCTGCAACTAAACCAAAACATGTTTTCGGTAAGATAGAGCGTCAAAAGTGTAGTTTGCCTACAAAACCGAGAAAATGGTTGCTCTCAGAAAGATAATGCTGAAAACAGGAGAACTTAACAAAAATAGACCAAAACGTTGTTCTGAGTGCCCTCAAGTAAAAATCAGCGTCACTCGCAAAAAACTGGAAAAGAAATCCATTTACCGGTGCAATAACGCTGGAGAAAGCCCAATTTGACGGTAACCAAAGTAAGAACACGTTTTTGGTGCAATAAAGCTGAAAACAGCGTATTCTAGCAATTAAAAAGGGAAAACGCTATTGAGGCTTTTCTCACAAAGATGATGCTGAAAACAACGTAACCTAGCAAAAAACTAGCAAAACCGTTGTCACTCAGCCAATCACAAGAAAAAACGTGGTTTTGAGTAAAATCAAGAGAAACGCAGGGTGACTCGCTGCAAACTGGAAGAAAACTTTTTTCCCGTGCAATAACGATGGAAACAACACAACTTTACGGCAAACAGACCGTTGTGTGAGTGCGACGTGTTTTAGCAAACAAAAAGCAAAAACGCTGCTTTTTGCGATATAAAGCTCAAAAAACTCAATTTTGGTGCCAACTAACCAAAACATATTTTCGGTATTATGAAGCTTGAGGCAGCGTGTTTTCTGGCGAAAAACTAAATCGCTGCTTTTTCTGACATAAAGTTCGAAGCTTCAAATTTCGTTTCCAACAAACCAAAACATGTTTTCCGTATGATAAAGGGTCAAAAGCGAAGTTTAACTTGGAAAAAAAGGGAAAGCCTGCTCTCAGAAACATAGTGCTGAAAACAGCTTACCTTAGCAAAAGAGAAACAAAAACGTTGTTTTGAGTAAAATCAAGTAAAATGAAAGTAACTCGCTGCAAACTGGCACACAACCTTTTTCCGGTGCAATAGCACTGGAAACAGCTCAATTTTACCGCAAACAAAGCAAAACATGTTTTTCCTGCAATAAACCTACACGCAGCGTATTTTCATCACAGAAAGGGAAAAACGCTTGTTTTTTTCTGACATAGGGCTCAGAGCAACTTAATTTAGTTGCCAACAAACCAAAACATTCTTTCGGTAATATAGAGCGTCAAAAGTGTAGTTTGGTAACGAACAAAGAGGAATGAAAGATGATGCTGATTACAGCAGAACCTAGCCAAAAACAAGCAAAAACGTTGTTTTAAGTAAAATCAAGTAAAGAATCAGCGTGACTCGCTGCAGCCTTGAAAAACATCTTTCCCCGTTCCAATAACGCTGGAAACAGGGCAACTTTACAGAAAACAAGCGAACACATGTTTATCGTGCTATGAAGCTGAATGCAGCCTATTTTAGCATTTAAAGAAGGAAAACGCTACTTTGCCGTAAGATAAAGCTTAAAACAGTTTAATTTAGTTGCCAACAGACCAAAACATGTCTTTGGTGAGATAAACCGTGAAAAACTGTAGTCCAGTTGCAAAAGAGTACACAGCGTTGTTCGCAAAAAGATAATGCTGAGGACAGTGATAACTTAGCCGAAAACAAACGAAAACGTTGGTTTAGTGAAATCAAGTTCTACTTAGGGTGACTAGCTGCAAAGAGGCAGAAACGTTTCTTCGATGCAGTTACGCTGGAAACATGTTTTTGGTGCAATAAAGCTGAAAGCAGCGTATTTTAGAAACCGAAAGGCGAAAACGCTTCTTTGTGTGCTTTAACTCACAATCGCCCGGTTTAATTGTAAACAAATAAAAATATGTTTTCCATTCGATAATGCTCAAAACAGCGTAAGTCGGAAATTCCACTCAGATGCTGAAAGGCTACACCAGTAATTGCTTAGGGTTATGGTTAGGGCTAGGGTTTGGGTCAGGCTTAGGGTTTGGTTTGGTTTGGTTAGGTTTGCCTAACCCTACGTGTTTGTAGAATCTTTTTATGTGCAGATATACAGCTAGAACCGGGGACTGAACAAGAGATAAGAACTAGAACAGATGGAGGTTACGAACAGAATTCCGGAAGCCCTAGAATCCTGGAGGGGTGAAAAGAAGTACAGGGGACTTCTAAGATAAGTATGGCTCGTTCCCTAGTAGTGCCAGAGGCAGGACAGACTCTTGTTTGGGTGGCCAACTTCTTCGAAAAAGTTCTCACCTTACGATCACCTCTCCCTGTTGCTGAATACCACACCGTCAGCGGTGTAAGTGGCAGTGCTACTCCTACAGAAATTGGCGTTAGTCCATCAGCACCTAATCATTCATACTGCTCAGTTATAGACAGAAATATTGAGGATGATAAGCAGGAAAGTACAGAAAGAGAGAATAGAAGGGTAAAAGTTATCCAGCCAAGTTCAGATGGGCTTTCAGATGAGCAAAAAAGGCAATTTTCCCTACTGCTAGACCAATATAAGGGAATATTTGCAAGTAACAATTCTGATTTAGGATGATTAGATCTTATGGAACACGACATTAACACTGGTGAGCATGCTCCCATTAAGCAGCTTCCTCGTCGCATACTACCGCACCAGGAGGAGATCATAGATCAACAGCTCGACGAGCCGCTAGCGAATGGTAGAGTTGAAGAGTCGCAGAGCCCCTGGAGCAATCCGGTTGTTTTGGTAAGGAGACATGATAGAAGTTACCGTATGTGCATTGATTACCGCAAACTGAATTTGTGTACAATGAAAGATGCAATACCGTTAGTGAGGACCGATGATGTCGTGGAAGCGCTGGGTGGTGGCCCATGGTTCTCCTGTCTGTATTTGGCGTCTGGGTATCGGCAGATGCAAGTAAAAGAAGAGTACAGTCCCAAAACAGCACTCTCGACCCATCGTGGACAATTCCAATGGAGGGTTATGCCTTTTGGACTCACGAATGGGCCAGCTAGATTTACCAGAGTGATGAATCTAGCACTCAGTGAACCGACTTCGACACACTGTCTTGCGTATTTGGATGATATTATTATCTGGGCCCCTTCCCTCGAGGAATATCTCCATCACCTACGGTTATTATTTGACAGGATAGGAACTGCTGCTCTTAAGCTGAAGCCAACTTAGTGTCGGTTTCTAAAGAGAGAAGTTTCGTTGGCGGGGCATGTTGTCTCTTCAGATAGCATCAAAACTGACCCTGACAAGGTCCAGACTGTCAGAACTTGGCAAACCCCAGTAGACGTCAAAGAGCTCCAAAGCTTCATTGGTCTTGCCATTACTATAGAAGGTTTATTTCTGGATTACGGGAGTCGTTCTTTGTATGAGCAGGAAAAGAACTATTGCGGGACTCGATTAGAGATGCTAGCTCTGGTAAACAATGTGGACCATTTTCGCTATTATTTGGTGGGACAAAAAATTGCGCCTGAGGACTGATAATCACTCATTTGTCTGGGTAATGTCTTTTAAAGAGCCTCAAGGGCAAGTGGCCCGTTGGCTAGGGCGCTTACAGTATGATTCTGAGATACATCGTCACCCGGGAGGTTACACAACAATGCAGACGCCTTGTCTAGAAGGCCCAGACGACAACATGGGAATTGTCCATCGTGTACTCCAACAGGATTATCCCAAGTTACAGTTGTTGCTAGAGACCTTCCGGTCGGTGAAACCCCACGCGAAGTGAGAAATTGTTGGTACCCAGAAGTGGTTGCACAGGCCCAAAGAGATGATCCAGATATCAGCGTGGTGCTTTGTCGTTTGTTGAAAGAGTGGAGGAAACCAGCTGTTGAGGAACTTCATGTCGATGTGCTGTGCTGCTCGTGCTGTCTGGGCCCAGTTTGAACTGTTGTTGCTACAACAGCGGGTTCTCTATATCAAGTCAGCTGCCCACACTACTCAAGCTAAACTGAGGATGGTTGTACCGAAACAGTTAGTGGAGCAGGCCCTTGTCGAAGTTCATGATGGCGTTGCTGGCGCCCACCTTGGAGGAATGGAGAGTCTAATGAAGATGAAAGCTAGATTCCGGAGGCCTGGCACGACCACAGAGGTGCATTGTTTCTACGATCGATGTCTGACATGTGCCAAGTGTAAGCCAAGGGCGAAACCCAGAGCACCACTGTGGTCATTTACCTCTGGCAACCCCACACAACGCATCCATATTGACATTGTTGCTCCCTTGCCATGGTCTCGGAGAGGAAACCGCTACATTTTAACAGTTCAGTGCAGTCTTACTAACAGGGCCGAGGTGTTTGCAATGTCCAACCAGCATGCCACCACCTCTGCAAAGGTGCTTGTAAGGAACTGGATCTGCAGATCTGGTGTGCCTGACAGCATTCATAGCTATCAAGGCCGTAATTTCGAGTCCAGAACATTCTCGGAAATGTGCCAGCTGCTGAGTATTAACAAGACGCTCAGCAGCGCGTATCACCCTGAGGGCAACGGCCAAGTAGAAAATCTGCACAAAACCTTAAGGAGCATGTTGAAAGCTGGAGTTGAAAATAATCCAGCTACACGGGATGCGCACCTCGATTTCTGGCTGATGGCCTATCGCAGTATGTTCATTCCTCCACGGGGCACAACCCGTTCGAGCTCATGTTCGGTAGAGAGATGAGGATACCTTTAGATGTAATGGTTGGCGGTGCCGAAGACAATGAGTGCACAAGTTGCACAATACTTAACTGCTTGAGGTAGCTCCAATGGTCAAACTAGCTACACGTTTTCAACTTCACCATGAAGCTGAATTGGTTCCAATAGTTCAAATTGTCTAACTGGCTTAATCTATTCGACTGGCCAAAAACATCAAACCAGCGAAGACCGTTAATCTGACAGCAAAAAATGCAAAATCTTTCTCGATTCTTTGAAGGAGTTCAACTTGTCAGATTTGCTCAAGTGGTCTAACTGCACAGGATGCATAAAGCTTTATAGGTTCAATCTAGAAATCTTCACAATGTAGCTAAATTTGTCGAAGTGGTTGAAATGGTCCAAGTAGCTCATATTTGTTCACCTGGTTTGGTGGTCAAACTAGTGAACAAAGTTGCAAAATCTATCGTAATTCGTTGAAGTCGTTCAAATTGTGAAAGTAACTCATACTTCTTGAAACTGCAGAGAAACTGTACAATCTAGCTGAATTGTTTCAAGTAGTTAAAATTGTCAAAGTAGCCTCATCGATTCAACTGATTGAAAGGTCAAACCAGCAAAGACAGTCAAACTGCACAAATTGCTCATTCTATATGAATTGGTTGAAGAAGTTCAAATGGTCAAACTGACCAATGCGGGCTAATCACACATAATCATTGAAAAGTCAAACTAGTGTGGACAATCATGCTCCAAAAATAGCCCAATCTATCTTAATTGGTTCACATGCTTGAAATGGTCAAACTAGTTTAACTTGCTCAACTGCATGAACCGCAAGATTTCACTGAATTTTTTCATGACAAATCAGCTTGATTGCTTCGACTATTGAAATAGTCAAAGTTGCGGAAACGGTTAAACTGCACAAATTGCAGTCTCTATCCCGACTAGCTGAAGTAGGTGAAATGCTCGAACTAGCTTAAATGCTTCAACTGCACAATATGCACACTTAGCTTAACAGTTTGAACTGCAGATACGGCACAATCTATCATACATGGATGGAATGGTTAAATAGTTTAACTAGGGAAGACTGGAGAAAAAACAGCAACGAGTTAGAACTGTAAAAGTTAGAAATGCAAGGAAGGCTGAAGAGAGAAGAAAAGGAAAGACAAGAAAGGATGGAAGAGAAGGACAGACAAGAAAGGATGGAAGAAAAGGACAGACAGGAAAGGTGAAATTTGATATCACCGAGTATCTTAAGTTGGTATTTCCATTTAAGGAAGCAGACGCTGATAAGTGTTTCCTGCACTTTGAGAAAGTAGCTGGCAATCTTAAGTGGCCCACGTATTACTGGGTAATTCAATTGCAGAGTGTACTAGTCGGTAAAGCAAGAAAAATGTAAACACCGTTAAGTGTAGAGCAAGCTGCAAATTATGACACCCCTAAGGATATTATTTTAAAGGGTTCTGAAATGGTTGTCGAGGCTTAGAGACCGTGAGAAAGTCAATAGTCAGACTTATGTAGAATTTGCTAGAAGTAAGGAACAGTTATTTGATCGTTGGTGCCATTCGCAGAGGGTAGATGAGAGTCACGATAGGATCATGACAGCTAGCTTTAATAGAGAAGTCTAAGAGGTGCATTCACAGTGATGTCCGAACGTTCTGCGATGAGCAAAAGGCACAAACATTAGAGAAAGGTGCACGACTAGCACATGAGCTTTGGTTGGGGCACAAACTGAACTTCATGGAAAAACCCCATCAGCTTCACAGTTCACCCGCTAGAGTTCTGCCTCCTTCGGTACCACGCTGGTTTGCAAAACCAGAGAAGTCGGCAGAATGACGGAGGACATCCAAAGCAGAATCCTGCTAACAATTATGGGAATCGTTTCAGCTCCTCATGGTCAAGACAGAACAAGTGTGATCGAGGTAAGCCCATCAAGCCGCCGACGTGTTACTTTTCCAGAAAAGCTGGTCAGCTGATTTCTAGCTGCCCGGAAAGGGGAGAGTGGCGCCTAACCGACTGGTCCCTGCAAATTTGTCATGGATCTTTTTCAGCCCTTCATCCACCATGGTTCGGTGTCATTGTCAACTGATACGTCCAACTCCATACCAATCAGGATCTTGACAGGCACTGGAGCCTCACAGTCTCTATTGCTGAGTGACACTTTGGTGTTTTCTGAGAAGTCGTTCACTTGTGCGAGCGTTCTAATAAAAGGAATCAGTTCCAAGTACACCCCGGTGCCACCGTATACACAGTATACACCAGTAGTTGTCAATGCTACTGTCACCGACAAGCGTGGTTTAGAAGAGTCTCCAGAGCCAGTAGAGAGGAGAATTCTCCGTCTGTACCCATAATGTGTCGTGACGCGAGCCATAAGTAAGAAGTTAGAAACCAGAGACAAAAGAGGTAACATTAGCTGACACCGCCATCAGCCAGGTCCTTACGTGTGAGCAACCGAATCCCTCTTTCTCTCAGTCAGTATAAGTACTTTCTGAGAAAAGTTCAATGGAACAGGTCGAAAAGATGTCAACTTCTCAACTCATTGCAGAACAACACGAAGACCCGGAAGTCTCACCTATATTTTCAGAAAGTGTTAGTGAAAGCGAAGTATCTCAGAACCCCACCTATTACTTTACGAAGAATGGAGTGCACACAGAAGAGGAGCGGGCTGTCCAGTACCAGATGATTGTCCCAAAGATCTACAGACCGGACGTTTTAAGGGCAGCGGATGAGACCCCCTTGCCTGGCCACCTGGGTGTCAACAAAACCTGCCAGAGGTTCTTAGACCATTTGTATTGGCTCAGTCTAAGAAAAGTTGTGGCGCAATACCGCAAGTCGTTTAACACTTGTTAGATGGCTTTGAGACCGAATCAGATCGTTCCAAAAGTACCGTTACAGCCACTACCAGCCCTTCAAGAGCCATCCAGCAGAAGAATCATTATTGATTGTTTAGAGCCACTACCTAAGAAGAGGTCTGGACACCAGTATTTGATGACCATCATGTGTGCATCCAGTAGATTTCCTGAAGCCGTACCCTTGAGAAATATCAGTGCAAAGGTCATAGTCAGAGCTTTAACCAAGCTTTTTACACCGGTAGGTCTCCCAAATTCTATCCAGTCTGACCAATGTTCCAATGTTGTGTGGCATATTTCAACACGTCATGCACGAGCTTGGAGTCACACAGTATATGTCAACCGCATGTCACCCTCAAAGTCAAAGAGCTCTCGAAAGATGGCACCAAGCACTGAAGAACATGATGAGGATCTACTGTTTCGAAACAGAGGAAGATGGGGACGATGGTAGCCATCTACGACTGTCTGCTGCAGCTGAGTCAGTACAGGAGTCTCTAGGATTCAGTCCATTCGAGCTTGTATTTGAGCACACTGCGAGAGGACCTCTTAAACTGCTTAAAAAGAAGTTATTATCTAGCAGCACTGAGTCTGCAAATCTCTTGCAGTATGATTCAGATTTTTGCAGTAAGCGTTTTAGAGCTTGTGAGTTAACTAAAGTTTATCTTAGTCCTTTCGAGATGCCTTTGAAAGAGAATTATGATGTAGATGCTGTAGAACGTGACTTCAAGTCAGAAGAAAAGGCTCTTGCATTGTAGCCAGTGCCTAGAAACAAACTTAATTGTAGACTTTTTGGTCTTTATGTCACCGACAAAAAGCTAAATGACCTCAAGAGCCGATGTCAACATGCATCAGACAAACAGCAGTGAGCCGCCCAAGTTTGTTTCTCTCCTACTCTCATATTTTGTAGCCCAATATGTCCTGATACCTGTGGTGTTTTTTTTTTTTGTTGTGAAAATATATATTAGTTGTAAGAAACGAGTTTTTTCGTTCGACCGCTCAAATATGCAAATTTTTACCCTGAATATTACCCGAGTTGTGTGACCTCATGTAACGAGCTTGCTGGACCTCCGGTATCTCTGTCGGCATAATCCTTCGTTGTATCATTTGAAATTAATCCCCAGTCATTATTGAAGCTGGCAAAGAATTATTTCTTCTTTGGTGAACAATTTTGTCCGACATACTTTTTCTATGTCGAAAAGTAGCATCAAAACAGATACAGTTTCAACAATGACCGACACGACAGAACCTACTGAGCTTCTAGCTTTTAAAAGACGAAAGGATAGTTATAAAGTTACTGTAAAAATTTCCATGTGTATTTCTGTTGTTCTATCATATCAGCCATTTGCTAATGTTTTCCGTGAAGTTCGTTTACTCAAATGGCCTGTTACAATCAAGAATTTTGCTCTCGCCTTAAAGCTGATGGTTTTGCTTTTTCTTTTGGACAATACAAGTTTGTTAAAGGGGCTCTAGCTTTTGGGGTCTCGGCTTATTGGTCAACAAATACAGTATATTCGCCTCTTCACCGTGGTGCCCATATATGATTTTCATACATCCACAATCATTATTCCATCTTAATTGGTGGACGTATTTTAATTGGTCAGACTAGCTTAAATGGTTCAACTGGACAATATCCACAACTACTTTAATAGGTTGAATTGCACAAACTGTACAATCTAGCTTTAATGGATCAACTGGTGAAATACTCAAACTTGGGAAGACT